GCGGTAACCATAATGGTGGTCGAGTAGATTATGTTGTGCGGGATCGAGAAGCCTCACTGCACGCAAGGGGGATGATCGAACCACGTTGTGTTAAATTGGTCAAGCACCCTCNGGTGAACCTGGCAACCAGGTTACTGATTTGTTTTTACCTCTGTTTTTTTTGGCGGTAACCATAATGGTGGTCGAGTAGATCATGTTGTGCGGGGTGGAGAACCCTCACTCCGCGCAAGGGGGATGATCGCACCACGTTGTGTTAAAATGGTCAAGCACCCTCGAGGCAGTTACACAGTGCTTACAACTGTCTCTGGAAGTGAAAGCACCAGAAAAAGAATTATATCATACGCAGCTGTCATCCGTACGCAAGGAAGTAAGCACAAGATGCCGAACACCGTTAGCAGGATGTAGCGCACCCTTCATGCGACTCGCCGAATATCTCACGGCGCTTCGCGCTTGGTGATGTTCGAGCCTGGTCCGGTGAGAACCCGGCGTACTCCGTCCCGGCTTTGTAGGGATGCGAGGTCAATGGTCTAACGACTACGGCATGCACGACTATGAGTACACCCCCCCCCACACACCCCTCGCCGTAATGAAGTGCTGTTCTACGGTGTCTCCGGTTTGAACCATACATGCCGGGATGGATCGCGAGGAGACCAACTCAATTTCTTGTCGAACCCGCATCGATGTCGGCTTGTACCGGCAAGTGTGTTGCGGCTTGGGCACCACTTTCTACGCTCATCCTTTGCAAACCCTCGTTTCATTCAGTGCCGACGTGTGTGTGCCGGTTCACGCTTGCTTGAATCAACCCCTCGTCCGTTTCTCTCCTGCTCTCCCCTCTCCCCAATCTGTTTTCTGTCGCTTGTTCTCTCCGTCTCTCGGCGCTTCTACCTCTACCGTCATTGCTCCCGTCCTACCTCACCCTCCCTGTCGTGTTTTCTGTGTCGTTTCTATGTTTTTGTCTTGTTCTTCCGTGGTGCCTGCCGGCTCATCAGCGCGCTTTTACAATGGTCGACTGACTGACGCTCCATGCGTGAGGTGAGCGAGGCAAGCGCCTGCCGTCACTCTGTTTTTGACGAACACCCTTTAGTTCGTCTCTTACAAACCTTTCACGATGAGTGTGCAGAAAACGTCGCATTTATAGGCAATTTCAAGACGGAAAGGCCTGTTTTCGCACTGTCCGCCAGGCCGCTCGGTGTGACGGAAGTCGCGCGGGAGGCTCTGGCATTTCGGTTGAGCCGCCCTTTACGATGGTGCACCGCGTCCAACAGGATGCCTCGTCGCCGTTCAACAACCTAAGACGGAGGCAGCGAATGAACACCCCCGCCCCCACTGCCCTGTCGCATTCGTAACTGCCGCCCCCGCACACCGGGCCCCCCTCTCTTTCCTCTCCGAAACAGGGACCAGGCAGCGATCCCGGCACCTTCGCCATCATCGGAGGCGACTGGGCCTCTTGCTCTCCCGCCCCTCGGGCCGTGCTTTCCGCCGTTCCTCCTCGTGGACGTATCGTCCGGCTCCGAGCGGCGCGCCGGGAGCTCGTACCAGAACCCACGCGAAGCGTCCTTCGTTTCCGCGTTCTTGGCGCGCCTCGTGGCGTCCGGTCTGCGGAGCGGCCGAGGGGTCAAAGCCGGCGGCGGCGGCGGCGGCGACGGCACTGCCTCGGGCGGCGGGCGGGACCGGGAAAAGTCGGGGGTGGTCCGGGTGGGCATCATCACACCCTACCGGGGACAGGTGCACTGCATCCAGCAGGAGCTTAGCGGCGGCGGCGGCGGCCGGCGGCTCAAGGGGGGCGTCGAAGACGGGGGGGTTGATGCCGAGGTGAGCGCTCGCCCGACTCCCGCTTTTTTTTGCCCTCCGTGTAGCAGCAGCGCATGCGGGAAACTTGAGGGTGTTTTCCAGACGAGCAAGTGTGCAGACCGGGCTGTTGTTGTTTCTTGCGCTTTCCCGTGAGACATGCAAGCCACCTCGGGGAGAGCGTTTGCTCCTACCTTTGCTTTTGTTCTTGGTCCTAAATTTTCTCTCATGTGTCATCACCTAGCCTTGGACTGGATACTTCTAGAGAGTTTCTCGCTTCCAGAAGAACACCCTTCACCCATTTTAAAGAAACGATGCGGTTACCCTTAAAACATCTCATCAAAACGTGGCCACGGGGCGTTTCGGTTCGATCCTGAGACGATTGGCCCGGGTCCTCACGTCAACCCTCGCTTCAAAAGACTACGCTGCCCCGTACCGTAAAAACACGTCTCACCGGTGCCTTTTCTTTTCTCGCAGGTGAGCACGGTGGACGGCTTTCAGGGAAAAGAGGTCGACGTCGTTCTCTTCTCGTGCGTCCGCGCCCCGTCATCCGGCGGCGGCGGCGGCGGCGGCGGCGGCGGGATAGGGTTCCTTGCCGATCAGCGGCGGATGAACGTGGCGCTCACCCGAGCCAGGTGTTCCCTTATTATCCTAGGGAATGTCGGCCGGCTGTCCTCCGATGCGACGTGGAACGCGCTCGTCGACCACTCCAAGTCGCGCGAGCGGCTGGAGCCGGAGGTGGTTAAGGCGCGGACGTCCGGCGGTGGGAGCGGTGGGGGCGGCGATGGGGAAGCATTGTGCGCGCGATTGGAAAAGGCCGCCGCCGGGAAGAAAGGGGGACGTGATCGGAGCGGCGATCGCCAAGGCACGGGAAGGAACCAAGCGGGTCGCGGAGGAAGGGGCGAGGCAGATGACGCCGTCGGCTCGCGAGTCGCGGACGGCAGCGACGGGAAGGAGATCCAAGCGCCGCGGCGCGCTGCAGGCAGCCGCACGGGAGGACACGTCCGTGGAGACGGCAGCGGCGGCATCAACGTCCCCGACGACCGTGCTGCTGCTGCGGCTGTCCCTCCGGCTGTGACTGACATCGAGGAGCATTGCGCCGACAAGCGAGCGAACCCGCAACATAAGCCGGAGAGCGGCGGCAGCGGTCAGCGACGGAAGCCGTCGTGGCGTGGCGGTGACGAAGTGAGACCATCCGCGCGGCTCGAAGAGAGCATGCGAGACCGCCCACCTGTTGAAAAGCACCAGCAGCGCCATGAAGAAGCCGGAGGGGCGAAGCCGACACCTCGAGGATCGGCCTGCAAACGGCCGGACGGCGGAGCGGCGAACCGTCCGCAAAAGCGGGCGCGAGTTTACGGCCAGGAAGCCGCAAAGAGAGTGAGCACTCCTGACAGCGGGTTTCTCGGAGGGTTGCTCAGCTCTCTGAGCTCGAACGCGGGCGGAATCGCCTCGGGGAAAGAGCACGACTTCCGGCAAGGGTTGCGAGGCGGCGAGGTGGGTTTAGGTTATCTTTGAGCATGGCCCATCGTTTTTTGTTTCATCCTTTGCCGACGAAGAAGAAGGGGTATCATTCAAGATGGTGCCGCTGAGTGGCCCTCCGAAACTCCACGTTGCATTTCCTCACGATCAGCCATGTACCCTAGGCATTAGCTTATGTGGTGCCTATGATCCATGCAGCACTCCTGGCAGCGCTTGACACTGCCGGTGTTGGGGGGAATCTCTCCACCCTCGTGTTTCGTAGTTTGTTCCCGTGGTCCTCGTCACGGTGCTCTCTGGAATCGCCGAGATCGTTAGAGGTCCTCGTTTGTTCGGACAAGCCGCCGTCCACGGAGAAGGAACTACACCATTGGAGCCCGCAGCGTGCTCGGACACTTGAGTTTTGTAAGAAATTTGGGGTGCTTCGGCCCGTGGCACATGGTCTGAAATACGATAAAAAACGAAGCTTGGGTGGGACCACCGGCCGCCGCAGAAGGGCCTCACCACATCGAACTCTAGCAGTGAAATGATCCTCACTAAGAACGATCATACAAAACAGGTACGGATATCTTTCCATAGCAACGCTACCGCCTTAGTCACTATTCTCTTTGTTAGGACCACCGGAACTTCTGCGGTTGGACACTACTGAAACCTTCAGCATCGGCGGGAATGTCCATCAATTTCTTGCAACAGGCTCCGTTCGACTTTCGCTATCTTTCGTGTTTCATGTTTGCACCGCACGACGAAGGATGACGAACGGAGGCGGGCGGCAGCAGCCCCGCGCCTCGGCGGCGCCCGAGTGACCGAACTTAGCCGCCCGGTAGAGCGCGAGCAAGCTCCGTCTGCCCGTCACTCCTCCCGAGCCGCCGCCGCCGCCGACGCCACCGGCCGCCAAACGCCGGTCGAAAGGGATGATCGCGGCGGACGCGGCAGCCACCGCGGCGTAGACTCCACTGAAGTGGTTCCGCCGTCTACACGGACCGATGCCAGGAACGGTGGACGTGTTGTAGGCACTAGCAGCGCCAGCACCGTTGATGCAAGGCGTGTGGCCCCCTCGACAGCACGAAGAGACGCTAGCTCCGCCCGCGACTACAGGGTCGGGCGGAACCAGTTCGGTCGGGGGGCAAACCAGCACCTTCAGCCGCCCCCGCAGCCTTCTGAGCAGCGGAAACGGGCTAGACGTGTGGAGCCGGCGGCGGCGACCGGTGCCGAGAGCGGTGGGGCCAGTTCAAGAGCAGGAGTCGGGAAACAATTACCCGCGTCGCGCAGACCAGGAGCGTCGGGCAGCAGAAGCGGCGGCAAGAGTGTTGGGGCGAAGAAGACGGGGTCAGAAGCGTCCCGTGGTGGCGGGGGCACGAGCGTGCTGGACATCCTTCAGGGGATTAGCGACACCTGGGGGGACAGCAGCAAGAAAAAGTGAATGCCCTGCCCTACACGTCGATAGGGCCAACAAGAAGTGACTTCGCAGGTGTATCGTCAGCCAACACCTGCCTGCCGAAGCCTTGGAATTATCGGATAAAATGGAATGTTTTGTTGTGGAGTCGACTAATCCACCATTACACGGAGGATCGGGTCGTCTGTGCACGTATGGTTACTGTATTTTTAGTTGTCTATGTTTGGTGGGAGTACAGTACGTTGTTTGTTGTGTCGTGCTTCACCGAAATCGTTGTCACGTGTAGGTGTCCCCATTTGCCTTGTAGGACGCTTGTGCGCGTCCCACAGCTTAAGTGAGTTCGATCAAAGTGAAGTATTTTGTGCGAGTGTCGAGCCGAAGAAGAAAACGAAAAGAATATGGGTTGTCATCAGAGGACCCCAAAGTACTAGCATCAAAACTTTGGACTTGCGTCGAGGGTGGAGGCCGATGTTCTCCGGTGCCCTCAAAATGATGATTGTGTAGCGTGAGTCCCTGTGTGTGTCGGTTGCGTGTTCTGCTTGAGACTAGTACCCGATTCCCACTGTTGATGACGAGTGTGCACCTTTTCGTCGTGCTGTTTCAACGAGTCACGACGGTAGGCCACACAGCAGAGAATCTCGGGAGTGAAGATAGTATGATGTGCCTCGTGCTGTTACTTGGAGTATCATGCCGAGATGACTAGAGCCGAGTGAACGGAAGTGTGGTGTGAAGTGGAATGCGAAAAAATGTAGCGTAGGAAGCCAAGGGCAAACTGTGGTGGCTTGGTCTGATTGGGTTCCGTTATTTGCACGAGGAGTCCAGACTTAGCGGTTGATGACATCGGCCGTAACGATATGTAGATGTTTAGCTCATGTTGGTTTCGGGCACTATTGCCCACAATGCCGTTTCCGTGCTGGTGGTCCTTTCCTTGCATTCATGTGGATTGAGCCGAGTTCTCTGTCGTCTGTGTCGGGATTAAGAATTTCCCCCCTTGAGCCTTGATTTGCCGCGTGTGCAGGCATTCCATACAATTGCGCTCATCATCCTGAACTCGATACCGCGGCTACCCTCCCTGTGTCCAGTTCTTGTGAAAGAATCCGTTTCGGGGAGGGTATATTATTGTGGTCCATACTCAATTCAATTTATTCTCGCCCCTTGGTTTCATTGACACTTGAGTGGTTTGAGGGCACCGGCACGTATTGTGAATTGGACGTGTGGCTACAGGCATACGGAGTAGACGGGGAACACGTGGGCTGCACGTCGACCCAGGTTTTGGTATACATCGCCGCCTCCAAGCTCCGAACAGCGGGCGCGTACGTACATGACACACATGATCAAATAAGTGCACCCCACGGTGTAGGGTGTCCTGCCCCCACCGGTGGGACGGCAAGTGAATTCATCCAATCATTGCTATTCTCAGGGCTGGGAGCCACTGTATCTCCCGTGAACTCAAGCGATCGGCAGCCACAACAACTACAACAACCTCCCGTGGAGGTTTAGCCTTCGCACACATTCGTTCACTTTCACCACAACAGCCCGCCAAGCGGCCACCACACAAAAACCGAGATAATTATGGGGTCTCAAAGCACACAGGCACAAGGTGGGAGTTTCACGGGAGGACTGTACAATAGTCAGAAAAGGCAAGGAACATCTGTTGTTGTCCAAACACATGAAAGTACTAGGAACGCAACAAGGCAGGCAACCCCATTGGCCCCCAACAGTATAGGCGGTCACAGCACAACACACGTCCTGTTCATACGGAAAAATACACCTTCTGTGAAAGCAATGTATTTCAACGTCCTGGGGCCGCCGCATCCCGAACATCTCGGACACGTTCCGCCGTTGTATTTCACTTCATTCAAGTCCAATCAGCCCGCGCATTTATTCATGGGAACATAGGACGGGTTTGGTCCCCTCCCCCGCTCCCCCCAGCATTCCATCCCGTTCTTCTCCCGCAGCAGCAAGGCCTTCTCCCGCAGGAGCTCCTTTAGCCGCTTTTCGATCCTAACCTTTTCCGCCACGACCGCCTCGCCACTGGCCTGCAACACCCCCCCCAAGCGCAACGGGGCTGCTCCCCGACTCATCGCAGAGCCATCGTCCCCGCCAGTCCAGCCACCGCCACCCCCGGCCACAGGCTTGGTGCTACCATCGTTCTTGCCCCCAGGATCTACGCGTCGGGCAACGGCGTCAGCAGCCGGGCCCTGCCAGTTCCACGCTGCCCTTCTATCAAATTTCTTTGCTGCTGCTTCTCGGCGGTCTTTCTTGGACGGCAATGGGAGGGGCGGGTAGGCCATGCTGCCGCTGTCCTCGCTGCTGCTGCTGCCGCTGCTGGTCGCCCCCATTGCCAAGGCGGCCGAGCGGTGAGCTTGGACGACGTGCGGCTTGGGCCTCGGCTTGCAATGTCTCTCCCCGGGATTGTTAGGAACGAGAAGCCCGGGCGGTGAGTTCCCGTTGCAGTCGTGGCCTGATCTACTCACGCCGAAGACGGCGTCGCAGAGGTCGGAAGTGTGCAGCTTCTTGGTGGTGCTCCGATCGAGCCAGGCCACGATGGCCTTGGTTTCGGATGTCCTGAGACAAATCTTTAGCTCTCTCCACACCTGCGACACGCAAAGTATGCCGTCACAAGATGCATGAATGGCGTGCGGTGTCACACCACCTTTCGTGCGCTCTCGGTCTACGCCGACATCTCCGGTAAAGGGATCGATGTCACGAAGGCACCGTATTTTTTGCCTGTCTGATAAGCACCAGGTGACCTAGTGACGACCAGCGGTTACTTCATGCAATCGATACGCTGTGAGCGATGTTTCAGGTATGGATGAGTTGTGAGGATAATAATGTCTCCACCAATGAAGCAGAGCGGTTTGCGACGGGAAAGGCAGCAGCTCCAGAAAAGTGTCGTTCCCTCAAGTTCCCGGCCGTCCTTGGCGCAATTGTTCATGTTGACACTTCATCATGTGGAAAGTGTCCAAACGGTCGACGACGTGTTCACAACGAGGTCAAGCGGTCCCTCTCACAACGCTTAAACATACAAAATTCCGCTTCCTCTTATGAGCACCAATTCGTTCAAGACACCGCGAACGCGAGACTAGTTACCCGTGTGAGGAAAAACCTGCTACCAGCACACTTGCCGCAAAGGCGAGGAGAGAAGTCAAAAACGCGAAAAGGCAATAATATATGGAGATGAGTTCGTTGTTTCGATTCTCCTTCTGGTTGCGAGGGCCTGCCAAAAACGAAAGCCTCGGAAATCTTTTGCCGTAGGTCATTTCGTTCTCGGTTGGGAAGCAACACGTGGATGACGGGAGCCTGGTGAGGTACTGGCGGCCACCATTGGGCGAGTAGAAGTTGGCAGGTAGGAAAGAGGGAGAAAAAAGTTAGCGTCGAAGCTCGAAATTCGTTAAGACGTGCGGAACTCCGAAAAGCAAGCTCAATGCATAAAGCGTACCCATGTTGACGGAGCCGGAAAAAGTACAAGGGAGGTACAGGGAGATGTTTGAGGCATGGGATAGAGAGGAGAAGATGGTAGCTGTACTGGGGCATAGGAAGTGGTTTGAAAAGCGGGAAGTGATATGGTTAGGATACATAGACTAGGGAAGACCTTTTTGAACCACCTTTGGCAAAGTAGAAAGGAACGATTGGCCATCGGTGATCGGTCCTGTGGGAACAATGCCACGTCCTCTCGAGGACGCGTGGTTAATGATCTAACCGCTAAGGCATGCAAAACATAAGAGTACGCCCCCCCCCATGTTGACGGAGCGTGCGGCTGAAGACGAGAAGGATGTACATCAGTTTCGAGCACTCGTATCAGTGTATAATAGCTCAGCAATGTGCAATAAATTCCCGTTCAAGCACGCGAGCCCACACGCAGCTTTCACAACAACAGCATCACCTGCTGCAACTCGTCCACGCCGACCAGACCACTGTCCTGGTGGTCGAACCGCAATATCGTTCCTTCAAGCAAGTCCCGAGGCGATATCAGGGGTAACGTTGAGGCCGACCCGGCCGCTCGTCTCGCCGCAGCGGTCACCCCCACCCTGATACGTTCCACCGCGTTCTTGACTACCGCTGGCTCCCGGACCTGAGCGGGTAGGAGAATGTGCGAGGTGCCGGGTCTTAACTTCACGAAGCATTGATGTTGAGACCGAGGGGTGGGCGCGACCGTTATCACCCGCAATTAGGTGGTAGGCGTGGTTACAAAAAAACTGTTCACATGGATATATCCAACAGACTGGCTGGGTAGAATCCTTTATCCCCGCCTGGAGTTTCAGTGTTTGGTAGAGAGGAGTATGGGTCGCGATGTCGCCTGGACTAAAAAAACATCCGCAAACCATACAACTAGAAGAGCGAACGTGCAGGGCTCAATGTTCCGCGCTACGCGTTTGGTGGTAAGCACATCCCTAAACTTCTAACGTGGTCGGCATCAAGGCAACTGAGTCGAAACCCGATGTACAAGCAATAGCTCGAAGCTAAAGAGGCGAGCCGGAGGTTGTTGTTTTATTTGTTGTTGCGGTTGTTGCCGTGGCAGTTATTCTAGCGGTGGTCGTTGTGGCCGATTTCTTGCAAGCTCAGGAGGGCTGTCAGTGGATCTGCCGTAAATAAACAACTAAACATTTGTCGATCAGCCGTGCGTGTTGCTCCAACACATATCAAGCGCCTCCATCCCGTTGAAGTGAGTGTTCCCTTCGTCCAGGTTGTTCGACGTTCATCTGGATCAACCATGCATACGTTGGATTTACGCGTATTCCTGGAGGTCTCTACCATCAGCAGCGAGAGTTACGAAAGAGAGACACTCTCACCGTGCGATCCAACCCGTTGAGCACATCCACCTCTTCGATGTAGGACAGCATTGGGTGCGACATGGTCTTGATCTCCTTGCACAAGAGCTGCGTCGGGTCGGAAAACGGGAATGCAAGAAAACTCCACGCCATGAATCACCGGCACAGCTGACAAGACGAGCTGCTTGATGCCACGGGCTCAGACGAAAAGTCAATACGTGACCTCCCTGACGAACCTAATGCAGAAAAGGCTGGCTAGGTCAATGGTACACGAAGAGAAAACTGCACCCACACTACCCCCCCCCCTCAGCCTGCCCCAAATGAAAAACGTGGGGTGTGGATCCACGAAAACGTGCTTGTGTGTCTTTGGTTATGCAAATGGTGGCAGCACGTGCGTGGCTGGGGGTCAGTGAAGCCGATGACCAAACCGGCTGAGGCATGGGTGCTGCACACGCTTGTCGGTCGAATATACTGAGGCACAAGAGCTGTATCCGCTGAAGCAAACATTTTCGGAAGATTCTGATCAGGCTAGAGGACAACCACGTCTAAATAAATAAATCACTTCCACAATTTGACATACACACCTCTTGGTGTCCTTTGATAATCGGTAAGCACAATGTAGACATGTTATACGCAAGCCGATCTTGATCGAATCAGACCAATCGTGCTTTGGGGTCGTCTTCATTGGCCGTTCCGCGTTTCAGGTCGATAACCGCCAACAATCCGAGCTAACGAATTGTTGTAAACTAGACCGATTAGGCCGAGCATACGTATGCACACAAACTGGTCGTACGATCAATCTTCCGGTTTGGTCGCCGCAACACCTCAAACCACTTGATTATTGCCGTGCTTCAATACTGCCATTCGTACCTCGTAGCTCATCTCCCCAGTGCCGTCGAGGTCGTAGTAATCAACCACAGCGTTCGCCTCGTCTTCGGAAGCGTAAACCCCCATCCGCTTCAGCGCCCCTACCTGGTTGACCGCCGATCGATGTATTTTTTGGTTATTGCTCATAGTTGAGCGGTGAACGAGGTGGTGAATGTACAAAGAGTAAGACAATGACATCTTCACTGTACTCGGCTCGTGGGATCAGCCGTTCGGGTGCAAACGGAGCACAGATCGAGAGGGAGGACAGGTGCCCGCGACTGGTACCTCGTACCGCTCTTTTTTTGAACGATGGACCATTTATTTTCTCCTCGTTGTCGTTGTTGCCAACGGTGTTCATGA